CTAAAAACAACAGTCTTGGTGTGCACAATACTCTAGTGATAGGCACCCTGTTCTGATGCTGGTCTGACCTGTCCATTGATCACCATTCCGGGCTCCCCTGGAAAGCCCATTAGAGTGAATGCAGCCAGATTATAACCACCAGCAGAGCCTGCCCTGACCCTCCTCCTCCTCCTCACAATAATGAACTCTCCTGCACAAGATTTGTGTTTGTACACTGTTAGATATGGAGTGCTATTCTCTATCATGGTTGAGGGGCCAGATTGGATTTCCAATAGGTCGTCTCCCGGCGGTGACATCACTATAAAGTAATTACAAGGCAATGGCAGGCTTTAATGGCTTTTTAATAGCGGGTCAGTCGGCTGTGACTGATGCTGAGCACACCTCCCTGGGATGAGTGGCATATCACCCCTGCAACCATCTGGGGGCATCCAGAGGATGGGGACAGTCTCCTTTCCCTCAGCCAGGCGGCTCTCTATCACAGTCTTAGATACATATTTGAGTTTCCAGTGTGGGGAAGTTTGGACTTTGGCTGCTGCAGTGTTTTTTTGAACAGGACTGGAGCCTGGCGCCGGCTGATGGTGAAATAGATATAATCCCACGTGACAGGGAGAAGCCAGTCACCCTCCAGGAGGAGAGAGTGAGAGAGAGAGAGAGACACGCAGAGAGAGAGAGAGAGAGCGAGAGAGAGCGAGAGAGAGAGTGCAGCAATCAGACACCCCTCTCCTCCTCCCCTCCTGCCTGGTGCTGGGGTGATCCACTACTTGCTGCACTCTGCCCCCTGATAGATCATCTGAGATCCCTGGATCAGCTGCAGCTTTATGAAGGTCGGACATTCTTTATTTTATACTTTTCTATTGGCTTTTATGCAAAGGATAATTGTAGATCCACAGGCTGTGGCTATAGGAGGGAACATAGGGCTAGTGGTATTTGGGATTTATAGGGATTAAGAGATGCTGCAAAGTGATACAAGTGGGTTGAAAAGGCTGCGATAAAACTGGGCTTGCAAGAAAAAGAGTGTTACACTGTTACAAAAATGGATCTAAAGGGATAAGAGGTGCTACATTGTGAGAAAAGTGATTTTATAGGGATCCTGGGGTGCTAGATTGGAACTAACGTAGGCTTATTGACATGCACATTTCTACAAAATGATAAAATGGGGAGGGGGATATAAGAGGAAGGGGTGCCACACAGTGATAAAAGGTGGGGGATATAAGAGGAAGGGGTGCCACACAGTGATAAAAGGTGGGGGATATAAGAGGAAGGGGTGCCACACAGTGATAAAAGGTGGGGGATATAAGAGGAAGGGGTGCCACACAGTGATAAAAGGTGGGGGATATAAGAGGAAGGGGTGCCACACAGTGATAAAAGGTGGGGGATATAAGAGGAAGGGGTGCCATACAGTGATACAAGTAGGGTAATACACAGTGACAATGCATTTATAGGAAGAGAGGGGAAAGTTATAGAGGTGAACACACATTGGTCGAGGTAGGAGGGGAGATTGTGAATAAAGTGCAGCTATGTGCAACAAATACCCCAATATCGTGCAAAAGAAAAAACAAAATTGCTTGCACTATATTGGATGATTGAGATGAACACAGCTTCTCCTCCTTTTCACTAAGCTCATGAGCATTCACTTTGTATAATGTACAATGACACGGCTGCTGATTCACTAAATTAAAAGAAATAAAGAAGTGCAGCATTGTAACAGTGAGAGGTAAAGGGGGTTTACAGAGTTAATGTGCTTCCACTGCGCAATGTGGAGCCTGATGAGCCAAATCCAGGCAGTAGTGGGTCAGAGAGTGTTTGTGGGTCACATAGTAATCTGCACTGAACATGAGCTCACTGAACAGTGACAAGTATATGAAGACAACGT